CCGGTCGGCATATCGGGCCCTCTGTTCCCCTCAGAAGGGAATCGCCTATGACAATTACCCTCCTTTTTTTCTTAGCAGCAGCGGTCATAATGCGTGGGGCTGACTGCCTCAGGTCTTTAGTGTTCCTGAGCCGTGCTGCAGAGGAAGGATTTCTCTGCAGAGCTCCCTGGGCAAGTAGAACAGACATTAGTGTACCTGAGCCATGCTGCAGAGGAAGGAGGTCTTTAGTGTACCTGAGCCGTGCTGCAGAGGAAGGATTTCTCTGCAGAGCTCCCTGGGCAAGTAGAACAGACAGGGGATGCTGAAGCAGACAAGGGATTCACCCACGTACAGCCATGGAAATCCCCTCCGTGCCAGGGGTGCCGGGGAGCTCAGCAGTGATCCCCACCAGGGTTTTGGGATGGGGAGGAGAATTAGAAGGGCAAAAGTGAGAAAACTCATGGGTTGAGATAAAGACAGGTTAATAGGTAAAGCTAAAGCCGCGCACGCAAGCAAAGCAAAACAAGGGATTCATTCACTCCTTCCCACCGGCAGGCAGGTGCTCAGCCACTGCCAGCAGAGCAGGGCTCCGTCACGCGTAACGGTGACTTGGGAAGACAAATGCTATAACTCTGAACATCACCCCCGACTTCCTCCTCCTTTCCCTGAGGCAGTTTAATAAGGGGGGGGGAAAGAAAACCAACCAACCAAAAAAAGAGAACCACCAGAAAAAACAACCAAGTGATGCAAAAGCCATCACTCGCCTCCAGCTGGATGAGGCCCAGCCAGTCCCCGAGCAACAGCCGCCCTGTCAGCCCTGCTGCCGTCACTCCCAGCTCCTGGGGAACGGGATTTCGGCTGCGGCACCTCCAGGGATGCTTTCATGGCAGAGGCAAAACCCATCCAGTGCTGAGGGATGACCCTGACACACTGTGGGTCTGGGAACCAGAGGTCTCATGGGCACCAAGAGGCAGGCTGAGGTCTCTGGGGTGCACCAGAAGGTGCTTCAGCTTGAGGAAGCGTTTTAAACTGTTGCCCATGAGACCTCTGGTTCCCAGGCCCACAGGGAATGGACCAGCCCCACAGACATCCCTCCTCTGATCCCCTCCAAGCAGGGTCCATGCAACCGGAGAACGGACACGGCAGAGACACGTGGGACCCCAGGGCAGCCTTTATACTTGTATATTAAAGAGTTGGTTTTCTTCTGCTTTAATTTCTTTTTCTTTTCTCCCATGCATTTGCATTGCCATCAGCTTTATCTCTTGCTGAGTAATTGCCCGCTGCTTAGACACATAATCTGAGCACAACCAATAATTAATTGAACAGACACGTAGGTTACTATTATAGCCATTAGCCCTATACATACAGATTTGAACAACGTTTTAAGTACATTTCCAAACCATCCACCAATGTCTGGTGTCCAACCCCACCCGTCCAAAGGGCAGGGTTTTTTTTTCCTTTATGAAAAACCTTCAGGTGGGTTTGGATTGTCATTACGTCCGTTCCTATTCTTTTGTCTTGGTCTACACAGAAACGACGACTGGTGTTAATGAGAGCACAGACCCCTCCTTTGGCCGCTAATAGATCGTCTAATGCTAACTGGTTTTGTATCACCCCTTGAGATCTAGAGCTGACCTCTGTTTATACGGTCTTTTTGCTATCTACCATTGCGTTTGTAATACTATCATCTCCCTCGACACATTTACGATCGCCCTTTCCAACTCTATTATTCCTAGCCATGGCAAGAAGGCTCTGGTGAATTTATGAAAGTCGGTTATTGTTATAGTTCCGCCTTTGCCTTTTTGGCCGTGGTTGATGGTGATGAAGGCTTCCTCCAGAGAGGGTTTTGCTGGCATCAGTGTCAGGGACCAGCATCCCCAGTGTGCAAGTGGCTTGTGCTCTTCCATTTTCTTTGGCATTTATCATATGTAGAGGATTCACATACCCTGTTAAACTATGATTTATGATTACCCACTCAAAAAATAAAACGTTGAATGAGTCAGAAAATATTTCCCATCTCTACATTGTTTTTTTGCCCATGCCTACCCATTTTAATTTCTAAAGTAAGGTTTTTCCTCAGTCAAAACGTTTGTATTCCATTATAAGTTGTAGTGAGGTTGCCGTTGGTCTGGACACCAATAAAATCATGTGCACAGCCCGTCCCTCCTCCTCTCTCTACACAGATGGCTGCTTGCCTTTGCATTTGCCTAACCAGGCAAATCTGGGGGAGGTCCTGGAGCTCCACACCTGGAGAAGAGGCTGTGCCGCCGGGGGGGATGGCCCGAGAGGTCGCCGGGCACGGCAGTTTTGAAGGGGCTGGAGAAGACTAAAGCCAAGCCCAAAGGTCCACTGCTGGGGCAGGGGGACAGAGGGAAGCCCGGTCCTCCTGAGAACCTCAGGGGGCCTCTCCAGGCCTTCAACTCCACATGCACTGATTTGCTTTATGAAGAGCAGACAGTGGAGGCATCTACTAACACTTCTGGTGGGACTGGGGACAGGATTATTTAGCTAGGGGAAAGGAGGAGTGACCACGTGCCTCAGACAAGCCTGAAAAGGGAGCTCAGAGCTTGGCACATGGGGTCTTCTGTGTGAGGAGATGCTGGCTGGAAAAAGCAATTAGCTCAGTTTTTCCCTTAATTACAGCCCTTCGCTTTTAATTGACGTCTAGGGGGTGGTGTGACCCTGGTGTCTTGTTGGGCTCAAGGGTCTTGTACATCGGGGACGTGGTAGGAGCTGCAAAAGGGAAGGTGGGAGAGCCGGGGGGGGGGATGCAGACACTGCATCCCAATGCACAGACGGGTCATTTCTGCAGGGAGATGGGACAAACCCTACCACAACCCCAAGAGAGTCATGCCAGACCCCAGAGAGGACCCCGAGGGCAGAAGGGGTGGGTGGCACAGACCCCGACGGCAGCACCACGGAGCACTGGTGGACATCAGCCCAGCTTCCACGCAGAGATCTGCTCCCCGGGAAGGCAAAATGCAGCTGTGGTCTGCATGTGAGGAAGGGGTGAGGAGCCAGAGGGAACCCACGTGGGATGATGGTGAGTGGGAGCACGGGAGGGGACCTGGCTGTGGTTTGGGGATGAGGCAAGCCAGGACTTCTTGGAGAAGGAAGGTGGAAACGGACCTCCTTGAAGATTCTCTCATGTTTGCGCAACTTCTCTGGAATAAGAAAGGAGAAGGAAACAAATCAAATGTGCTGATGACTCTGGTTTGGAAGATGTGGTCTGCAGGACATGGGGTCTGGTGGCCTGGCACAGCAACAGAGTGACCTTGCGGAGAGCTGGGCATGGCACCGCTGGTTTCTAATGTCACTTTCCCCAGGAAAGGGCTCTGCAGGAAGAAAACACCTGATACACAGCTCCTGAACCCCCCTCCTGGACCGGTGGGTTCCCTCCGGCTCCTCACCCCCTCCTCACATGCAGACCACAGCTGCATCTTGCCTTCCCGGGGAGCAGATCTCTGCGTGGAAGCTGGGCTGATGTCCACCAGTGCTCCGTGGTGCTGCCGTCGGGGTCTGTGCCACCCACCCCTTCTGCCCTCGGGGTCCTCTCTGGGGTCTGGCATGACTCTCTTGGGGTTGTGGTAGGGTTTGTCCCATCTCCCTGCAGAAATGACCCGTCTGTGCACTGATGACCACAAGCCTCCATCCCTCTGACCCTCTCATTTTGATCCCATCGCAGAAGAGAGTCATGCCAGACCCCAGAGAGGACCCCGAGGGCAGAAGGGGTGGGTGGCACAGACCCCGACGGCAGCACCACGGAGCACTGGTGGACATCAGCCCAGCTTCCACGCAGAGATCTGCTCCCCGGGAAGGCAAGATGCAGCTGTGGTCTGCGTGTGAGGAGGGGGTGAGGAGCCGGAGGGAACCCACCGGTCCAGGAGGGGGGTTCAGGAGCTGTGTATCAGGTGTTTTCTTCCTGCAGAGCCCTTTCCTGGGGAAAGTGACATTAGAAACCAGCGGTGCCATGCCCAGCTCTCCGCAAGGTCACTCTGTTGCTGTGCCAGGCCACCAGACCCCATGTCCTGCAGACCACATCTTCCAAACCAGAGTCATCAGCACATTTGATTTGTTTCCTTCTCCTTTCTTATTCCAGAGAAGTTGCGCAAACATGAGAGAATCTTCAAGGAGGTTCGTTTCCACCTTCCTTCTCCGAGAAGTCCTGGCTTGCCTCATCCCCAAACCACAGCCAGGTCCCCTCCCGTGCTCCCACTCACCATCATCCCACGTGGGTTCCCTCTGGCTCCTCACCCCTTCCTCACATGCAGACCACAGCTGCATTTTGCCTTCCCGGGGAGCAGATCTCTGCGTGGAAGCTGGGCTGATGTCCACCAGTGCTCCGTGGTGCTGCCGTCGGGGTCTGTGCCACCCACCCCTTCTGCCCTCGGGGTCCTCTCTGGGGTCTGGCATGACTCTCTTGGGGTTGTGGTAGGGTTTGTCCCATCTCCCTGCAGAAATGACCCGTCTGTGCACTGATGACCACAAGCCTCCATCCCTCTGACCCTCTCATTTTGATCCCATCGCCGGTGTGGGAGGCAAAGGCAATGCTTGGGCTCAGACTCTGGATAAGACCCAGACTCTCCTCAGACACCCCACTGCGGTTGCCCCACTTCTTCCCCTTCTATAAAGTCTCCTGAACCCACCAAAAGCACCTCTGCCACCCCCTGCTCTGGAGTCCCTCCTAGTTCGGTCCAGTGTGGCTTTTTCTGCCTGACAACATCCCACCCCACCCCACCCCATCCCGAGTGCTTCACTGCCTAACCCAGTGCCCTTGGCATGGCCAGGGTGACGGGGGAGGCTGGTTTGGAGGGGACTCATTACACACTTGCCTTTGATGACTCAGGCAAACCAGCTAAACCTATCAATGACCTGTTCCTGCTCAGAGATTTTGAGTTGTCGCTCCTGTCAGAAATAAACAGGCAAGCATTAGACGTGATGTCTTGCCTCACAGAAAGTTGTTTTTAATTTGCTTTCCTGGGTAAATTTCAGTTCCTCCCAAGCCTCCTAGAAACCCCTCACAGCTCTTCCACAGAAAGCAGAAGTGACTGCCTTGTTCCTCGGCCTCTTCCACCCACTGCTGGATGTGCCCCCAAAATAAACAACGACAGAAATCCCCTTCTCCCTGGGAAGAGGTTTCCTAGAACATGTCTGAAATTTTTGGAAAAGCGGTTAAAGTGGGTGGCATGCAGAGAATAAATAATGGTGCGCCGAGAGCCAAAGCCACAGACACCGGGCAGGGTGGCACAAAGCAGGACGGAGGAAGAGCCCTCAGGCAGCCACCATGCTCGCTGCAAGGACGGTCCTGCTGCTCATGCTGCTCCTCACCTTCTCCCTGCACCGTGCCACAGGTAAGGCACCTCGTGGGCCATCGCTGTGGGTCAGGGCTCGGGGTCCCCACTGGGGACGTCCCATTGGGGAGGTCAGGCATGAAACCCCAGCAGGGACGGTGCTGCTGGCAGGAGGAGCAACCCCCTGGTTGGTGCAGGGTGGCACGTCCTGGGGTGCAGGGAAGGATGGAGAGGGTGCTGGGTGGCCTCAGCAAAGCCGGCCCTGGGGAGATGCTGCAGGAACTTGGAGGAGACTCTGGTAGCCATTCCCCAGGTCTCAGCTGGATGAGCAAGTGGTTGGAGGGGGAGAGCACGTGCAGCTGTTTGGAGCCTCCCAAAACACCTTGCAAGTTGTGCCCCCACCTTGGAAACCCCCAAAACCTCGTCCCCCAACCTCACTGTGCACTTTGGCAGCTGCAGCAATGCGGGCTGTGGGATGCCGGGTCCCATGCCGTTCCCCTGCCCACCGCTGTCCACATTTCCCAGTCTGGTGCTTGCTGCCATGAAGGGAAATGAATCCCTGCCGTGGGACGCTGTGGGAGCTGCTGAGGAGCTCCACAGCCTCCATCCTGTATTCGATATCCTGCGGTGTCATTGCAATTAGTTGCAAAATGCTGCCAAGGGTGTTCACAACGTCTCTCCCTTCCCTTCACAGCCCACATCACGCCCATCGAATGCTGCTTCAAGTACGCACAGAAACCCGTCCGACACGTGCAGAGTTTCTATGAGATGCCCAGCGACTGCTCCTTGCCTGCAGTTGTGTGAGTACCCCCGGGGTTTGCCTCCCCCCCCCCCAGCACGGCGTCACGGTTGGGAGCTAGAGCAGCTCCCCCCATCCCGTCCTGCCCCGCAGACAGCCCGGTCCCAGCTGGGAGCACGTGCCTGGGGGGGGGGCTGTGGTAGGAAAGTAGCTCTGTGGAATGGGCAGAGGGGGGGAAAAAATAGGTTTTGGTGCTTTCTGCTAATGCCGGTGGTCTGGGAAGACTCAGACATGCACCGTCAGCCCGAGGAGGAGGGCAGGGGCTCCTGGAGATGGCTCCAAGCCTCCACCCAGGATGGGGCTGCACACAGGGAGGGAAGGAGTAGTGCATGGGAAGGGAACAGCTCATGGTTCACGTTTTCACTCTCTTTCCTTTCTCACTGCAGGGTTGTGACTGCCACCGGTGCCGAGATCTGCACTGACCCCAAGAAGCCCTGGGTGAAAAGAGCCATGAAAAAGCTTCAAAGGAAAAAATTGAAATCTCCTTCTGCCATCCACAGTCCTACCCACACATCCAGTCTTCCCGTCTCCGGAGGGAGCAGATGACGCTCACGGCACTTCTCCAAAGGGTCCCATGGCCGTGGGCGCTGGCACCGCAGGCAGAGCCAGCCTGTACCCCAGCGGGACCGGGTGTCACAGCAGCATGGAGCAGCCGGCCACCGAGTCCCTCCCGCCATCATCTGCCCTGCCAGGATGTGCCCAGTGGAGCAAATATTTATAATAAAGACTCATTTCCACAAGTTCTTTGAATTTTTCCTGATTCTTCAGTCCAAGGAGCAGATCCTTCAAGCCCGGGGTGTGGTGTGACCGAAAAACCCCTTTGCCACAAGCACATATTTCTCCAGGCTTGGAGCAAAATGTGCCTGGTCACAGCATGCCTCGTTGGGAACGTGATAGTAGGGCCAGGTCAAGGACCCATAGGTGAGGCTATACAGCATGCTATACAGCACGCTCTCAGCCCCACAGGCTTTGCAGGCGCTCCAGAATTAGGCAGTCGGGAGTGGAGGGTTCAGGGAGAAGATACTGATCTGCCAAACCCTTAATACCCTTGTCAGCCTCCAAATATGCTGGTGGCCACTGCCAAACAAGCGAGGGAGATGAAAAACAATGTCCACAGTGCCAGGAGGGTGAGGACACAACCCCCTTCAGCCGGGCAGGAGAAGAGCTGCCCCGGCTGCAGACCCTCTGCAGGGCTGGGGAGGGGTGGGAGCAGCACGGGCCCCCAGCCGATAACACCAGGCCGATGGTCCATCGTTTCATGGGAGAGGTGCAAAGCGTACACGGGAAAACCTCAGAAAGGTGAAGGCAAGAAATGCAGTAAGTTCCACGGACTGATCCTCAACCTGAAGCTTCATCAGTGTTTCATGCTCACGATTAGAAGACAGGGCAGGGCTGTATTTTCTAGGATATCGAATGCAGGCAGAGGACAGGAAAAAACATCCCAAATGATATTTTTGCCCACGAATCATAAGCACCATGGGATGAGGGAGTGGTGGAAAGGAAAGCTAAAGCAGAATCAGATTTTGGGGGACAAACGTCTCGCGGATTGTGCTCGGCTGTTCATAGACACCAAGTTCCAGGGCTACGCCTTCGCAGCACGTAACACCGAGGGCTATGATGGCCATGTTGTCTTCTGAAAGAAAAAATGGATGTGCAAGTAGCCATACAAGGTGGTAAGCTCGTGGATAGACACCCCCAGTCCGTATTTCAGAGAGTCTTTATACATTTTACTTACTAAGCAGCCTTCCCCAATCACCCGAATGGGAGGGTTGCAAAGATTATTTCCCCCATTTTTTCTAAACACCACTGAAAATCAAAATCATGTAGGCCCACAACCAGAACATTGCAAGTGGACAACACGATGCGCAAGGAGAAAAAGCAATTCTTGTCATGGCACGCAGCTAATCCGGAAATTTCTGACCTGCAAAAAGAGCTGTGTCGACAAGATGCGAAAGGTGTTACAAGATGCTATGGCCAACAAGAGGTGAAAACGTTGAGGAAGACCAGCAGATCATGCAGGAATATTATGGGGACGACACATCACACCCTCTATGAGAAAGGTGGTGATGAAAGTGTGGGACAAATGCCATCTGCCCATATTACAGAGCAGCCCCTGATGCAAAAAAAATCATTATTACGATTTTACTAGTCTCTATCCCTTCATTAACAAAATAAAACCACACTCCACTGGGCACGCCAGCGTTATTCCTGAGGATTTTACCAATCGATGGCCTGTTTTGGGTGACGGGGAATGGAGTTGCGGTGATGTTCAGGACTCATCCAGACCCCAGGGACCTCCTGCTCGGGGACCACTCTCGGGAGCTGAGGAGTGAGCTGCTGCCAGGTGGGAACGTTACCGAACGCGTGGCATCAGGACCCACGATGCAGGAGGTGGTCCATGACAAAAGGGCGCCGATTGAAAATTTCCAGGGTCTGTCCTCGGGGCAGATCGATCCCAAGCGTGCGCTGGAAGCATCGCTTTTCCACCGTTTCTGGCAGGGCTCAGCAACTGTGGGAGAAGCTGTTTCATAAGAAGTTCTGTAGAACAGCCATCACATGCTCTCTGCTACGCTGAGAAAATACATAGCGGAAATAGCAGAAATACATATAGACGTCAGCAGAAATATATACATATAGGTGTCGGCAGCTGCTGCATCATGAACTGCCCCTTAAATACCCTGGGTAGGACTTACCTGAAAGCCTTAGCGATAATTGCTCGTTTCCCTCTAATAATTGTATGTGAGGCAGCAATGCCCGAGCCAAGGGCCTGCCCTGACCGCCAAGGGACCTGCGTAATGACAGGGACACGCTTCTGCTGGCGCCTGCTCACCCCTGGACAGGGAAAACTGATCCTGGAGCCAGCTCATCCTCGTTGGGCAGAGCCCGGCTCCTTCCACCGAGCGGTCCCAGGGCTGATGCCTCCCCAGCCGTGGGGCATCGCTGCGCTAACCCCCCCCGCCCCGGCCCTCCCCGACGGC